GCACTGATAGCACAGTGCTGAAATGGTCACCCACCCCACCCCCACCCCGCCTTATCTGGTGCAAACCAATGTGTTCAATTTATTCGTCCAAACTACCCCTTCTAACGGTTGTGGTCGAAACAGAGTAAACATAATGTTGTTATCATCGTCTATTATCCTAATTTCAATAAAAAGCGGATCATTTGGAATCAGTTGTTAGATAGTCCGAATGTATTTGCCGTGTTCAGGTGTGTGAGATAAATCATAGCATTTTTCATGTCAGACTGTTTTGTACTCATCCGGGTGCGAGCTTGTCCTCCTCTACTTTGACAAATTACATGCACCGTCAGTGAATGAGTGATGTGAGTCATCCGGCCAGTTTGACAAGTTTCAACTGTGTACTCAGGTCCAAATGGCTCACAAAATCACCAAAACAAAATAGTGTGTCTATCCACACTGTAGCACAAATCATCTTAACAGGGCGATTCAGGGTATTCTATCGAGAGAAAGAGCGGGACTAGTAACGTTATTTTTCATCGGAATGGCGTGCGCGTTATTGATTTATTTCAAAACCAATTGGCAATGTAGCCGAGTGAAATTTTTGATTCCTTTACACATGTATGCACCTTTCCAACTAGACCTACAATAGAAGAACGGCAGCACACAACTGGATTTTGCACTCTGATTAAATGCTGAGGCGAGTCCCGTTCGGATTATCCACTCGTGCCGATTCAACACCCCTCTACTGACCAGTGTGCAACTGCTTTACAGACCAAATTGTAAATGTTTCAGCATTTATACTGACAGTGACTGCGGTGAAACTCGAAAGTCCTCAAGTGGATCAATTAAAACATGATGGATGGGTTTAGAAGAACAAGTGTGATGTATATATTGCCGGATTTTGGGTTAGAATTAGGCATAGCAAGCAAATCGTCGAATGCGATTCGATCGCGCACCTTAGTTCACCTGCTCCATAGATTTGATTTGTTTAAATGATGAATTCGTCATGTAAACGAGGCGTGAAATGAAAAGCTGGGAAGCATTACTGGACAGCTGTTTCGACCTGGTTGGGTCTCAACCGCAGTGCACGAATCCATCGACCCAACTGGGGATTGAACCCAGGACCTCACAGGCAGAAATCACTCCGATAACGGGTAGCGGATCCGGGCACTTCTCCCTGTAAAATCAATAATCAGGAAGTGTAGGTCAGGCTGCCGGCTTAGAGGAAGGGATCGCTAAGTGTGTGTGTGGGGGGGGGAGGGGAGGGGGTGAAAGGATACTTTGATTGCGGGACTCATGGTTGTCCTGGCCCTATGCCCATTTAGGACTAGTGAATCTCTATGCCAGTAAAGCATACCATCTGACCGAGAGAGCAAATAAAAAGCGAGCTAGGTCCCTTGAGAATACCAAAATTGATCCGTATAGGCCACCACAGGCTGCTCTTCGGATTAATTAAACTACTCTAATAACATGACTATTACGGATTTACACTTACACCGCAACAGTTCTCTTTTCCCTCTCTCTATCTCTCTAGTTTCTAGTCTGCATAAGTGTCAACTAAACGTGCCTGACCTTGAGTGTCAAGATTAAATGATCTGAACATGAAAACCACAAACTTTATCAAATATGACAGCACAACATTTTCCAATAGGAATCACTCCAGAATTATCTTAAATTATTTCCAAAATCTCTTGCCATCTCGGTTATTTGTTATGAGGCATTATTTTATCTAATATATAATCCATTATAGCAACTCTGTTGGATACCCAAATGAAATTCTCTCACAACCCGGATAAATTGCATTGAATAAGGTTTGATATCTAACTCAATGACTTCGAGAAATACCACTTCAAAGTAATGGAGCACAAAATAGAAAATGACTTCATAACAAAGTTGGTGGATTCGTTGCCGAAGAGACTCGAAAAAGTCCTAAAGAACAAAGGTAGACCAATCGACTATTAGTGTGCACAAACTTTACATCTGGCTGATTATCAATGTTAATTTGTTGTTAATAAAAACTTTTCCATTATCTTCAGTTACCTCTTAAATCATCATGGTCTCGGGCATTCACTACTGACGAAATGGGAGTATCCACTACATTCTGAACCATTCCATCTGCTGATTGTAAAAGAATCAGAAAACTTACGTCCATAAACACTCACCAAGGCTTGTTGATTATTATCTGGAAAAAAGAATTTACTTCAGTGTAAATGCTGTTGTTCATACGAACCGACCCGTTGCTTCAGTTTCGATTAAACCCGTATAAAGTCAAGCTAAGAAGCCGCTTTAATTCGCCCCATGGGGAATGAATATTCAGCTACTACACAATCAGTCTTCTGTGGTACAAATGGCCGGGGTAGAAAAACAAATCGAATAAGGATACACTTCATACCAAACAATTCAGTGAATTCAGCAATGTCTGGGTTTAAAGTTTATGATGGCGAGGTCGTCATCGGTAAGAAGCCACGTAAGGTCCGGTATTTTAGCTGACTTGTACGTTGTATTGCGTGCTAGTGTACGCTTATACTAGGAATGAGTGCTGGATAGAGAGCTATATTGATTAAGGTGAGGGTACAGTAGGGGAGATTGGTCTCGCAGTATTCTGGTAGAAATTTTCCGGGAGGTATTAAAAAAGCTGTGAAATTATAAACTGCACAACATGTTCGCGAGATATGCCACTATATTGACATACGTATTTGATGGATGTGCCAATGAGTTTCAAGTCTTTGATCGGAGGACCGGGAAAAATAACTGGGAGATGCACAAAGCCAGTGGGGAAGGATAGAAGTTAAGTAAATTAGATTAGATAGAACTTTTAAACGGATAATGTGAAACGTGAGTTTCCTGACTTCGTTAAATATCTCGATGACATGAGAAGACCAAGAGAAATCATAGAAAACGGTGACTTCAAAGTAGTTGACAAGGAATGCTCCGGGAGCTTGGTCGCCGTTGACCATCACATGCTGGCAAAAGTTCATCACATCGATTTGTTTGTCAACTTTCAGCAAAAGAAATAAAACATCTTTACACTTGGAAGGATTCATTTCAAAGGTTTTTATGTGAGGATCAGTCAGTGTGCATTTAAATGTTGGGCATACGTTTGGGGTACATTGAGGAATTCGAAAACTTCATGTCATGCACAACATCATCAGTATGCTTACTGAGCGAACATTCATCAAATACAGGCATGGAAGAAATGTAAGTTGGGAATAGGAAGGGACAGAAGGACTCCTTGAGTGGAGGGTAAAAGTGATGAGTTATGAACCTCATATTTCGTACACTTTAGGTAAGGAGTGTAATAATTACGTAATTTATAGGTAAGCTGCGGCTGAATACCCTCCTCCTCGGAATATGAAGAAGTTTTGTCCTGACAACACAATTGAAGGTGTCATTGTAATCAAAGAAACACGGCCAAAAAGCTGCGCATTTCCTGTCCAAGGAAGAAGAAACATCTTGAATGAAAAACTTTATCGCATCGAGGAGTGACCGGTAGTTGCCATTGGTAAATTGAGTGGGATCAGCTGCATCCAGCGGGGACAAACTCTTCTGTAATAAAATCGTTTCTATAACTTTTTCAAACCAACAGAAGTGCAATCACTCGGGCAAAAATTTTAATGGTCCCTTTTTGTGTACTGGGGTGATAGAAACCACTCTCCATCAGTCCGGAATGCAATGCTGAGTAGAGCACAGGTTGAACAGGTCGGTAAAAAACATGGAAGAGGGACACTGCGCATTCACTGAGTATCACAGGTGTCAGTCCATGTTTTGTTAGACGGTAGACTGATGAAATCTGTGAAGACTTCTGTTTGGTCCGTAATTAAATTAGCCAACTTAGGGGAGGGACGACTATTGTTCATGGAACAGTGGAGTCGGTTTCAGCATCGCTGAATTGACTACTGAGATTATCCACGTTGGCAGCTGGCAGAATCTCCTTCATTTTGAGACCGCAGAACTGAAACAACATTTTTCATATAACGCTACCAATCCAGCTAGCCAACAGTGTGTGTGTGTGTGTGTGTACATAAACGATGCTTAATCTCCGCAGTTTCACCTTGATTGCGTTCGACAAGTCTCTCACCAAAGGCTGCTTATTTGGATTTCAAACTTATTCTTTTTTCCGAAGTATTAGCTGATATATACACCGGGCGTGTGCTTCCAATGAAATTTTATCGAGTCATCTTTATAGTACTTATTATGAAATATATAAGTAGTACTATTCACCATGATTGAGTTTCGAAGAATATGATTAAGCCACCGACGAGATTACAGTATAGATAAAATCGACTAAACTATCAATTGGCGCAATTATGTTGAATATTAAATTAAATGAGGAGATGAGGGGAACTCATGGATCAGTCGACAGTAACTCGTCTGATTTTGCCGACTTATGCTTACCGTTGAGTTTTGTCATTTCAGACAAGAATTTAAACTCTCACTTGAAAACAAATCCACCGTTCACTATCAAATCTCCCAACGTTTCTCGTGAATGTAATAATGTTATTAATAGCGATTTCGGTAGAGAATGATATTCGCCGACGTTTCGGTTACCGTGGCTAAACTTTCTCAAGGCAGATTTACAATCAGATGACTCTGGGTAAAGGATCACATGTCAACAGATATTTCGTCGTGTGCATGTGTGGTGGGCTGAATGATTCGTTGTCTGTCATACTAACTCCCATTATCAGATGGAGTCAAGTGGCAACGTGACCTTTTTCGTGATTACGTGTTAGAGATGTTAGAGTAGTCCAAATGCTCGGGATCTCGATTCCGTCTTTTCTGTTGACACGTGCAGAGTGGGTGTTAATGGTCAAAGCTTCGGCATACAAGCGTTCAGTGCATGTTCGAAATCCGCTTTGGAGTAGTTTCGGGTTTGTCCTAAGTTGTCTACTGGCTTGCCCAATGTATTCTGCGGGGCATTCTTTACAACTTATTTTGTAAATGTAGTTGTTTTCATTTATTAATTCAACTGCTTTGTTTTTCATAATGTTACCGGTCACTGATGTTCAAAGAATTATCGAATTATGTATGATCATTTCTATGTTTCAGGATCCTCACGTGATCCGCTTCGTTCAGCAGATCACAATGACGTTGAATGTGCATCCCTGTTGGGCTTCAAACCTTCCGGCAGTCAACTTCAAGCACGTGTCGAACCAAGTCTCATGTACGACTTTCCCCTACCGATCGGGGGTAGTCCAGGGACCGCAAGCACCTCGGCCGGTCCAGGTCTGAATACAACCAGTACAGCAGCAGCATCATCACCATCCCAACCCCTGATCACAGGTTCGGATGGTGAACCGACCCCTTTGGGGACAACGGTTGGAGGAAAATTGGACAAATTGATCATGCCTAATGCCACAACAATTGGTGTACGGAGCAAAACAAACGCTCTAATGGAACAGAAAAACAATTCGAAAACAATTAGCAATTACGAAGCTACAGTAGACGGTGTCGCAATCAATCGAAAACTCAGTCTTCTGCCTACTCAACCCAAAGGGAACAAAGCATTGAAAGTGACCGCCACAATAGATAAACCACCACTCACTTCCGTCGTCAATTTGGGCAAAGATGGTGGAATGGATTTGGACTCGTGGCAAATGGGACCACCGGAATCCGCTTCCGGAGTACCTCAGTATGAGGAGTTTTTAGCCATTCAGAACTCATTCGCTATCACACCACCACGCCTTTCGATTGGGTCTGTGGAACGCGTAGACGGCAGACCGAAAAGTCGATCACATTCACCTGACTGACGTGGTGCTGTGAGTGGATAAGTGAACCAGATTATGGATTTTTTTCTGTAAGTGTTACTGCTTCCGATAAAAACAATTACTATATATTTCTGACTCCTCAGAAAAGAAAAATACTGTGTTGAATAATTTGCACCAATACCGTACAATCCCATTTGCATTTGTTTTCAAACCGAACTTTATAATCTGTTTCAAACAAAAACGTCATTTATAATTTAAATTTAATCGTGTCTATTTGTTCAGATCAACCTAATCATGTTTGAATCGAGTTCAAACTGAGAATTCTCTCAAGCAGCCACCAAATTGACGAACCCGTTTCTCACTGAATAGGAGTACATTTGATTGTTGCCTCATTACCAACTTATCATGCTTAAAACAAAACTGTTTGTCTATCTGTCTGTCTATCTATCTGTCTGTGGTCCAATTGTAACAGTGCAGACTCTGGTCGGGATTTGGGCGAAGAAATGCGTTTTGTTTTTGTTCCTGTTTTTACGCGCATTCGTGATCGCGCACCGCGGAATTAAAACCGAATGGGCTGCGATCGCACACACGCACACACACACACACCTTCGTATCGCCGCTCTATTCCACCTCATCCAGTCACAATTCATAAACACACGCACACACACGGAGAGTCAGCTGACAAAAACCAACCCAGTCTGAGGCGTTTTCGGTTACCCCCTACTGCAGATCTATCTCCGATTATCACTGTGTACATATATTTATATATATTTCTTCGTTCGTCGCTCAACATGCACTTTGTCTTGATAACATGACGGTGAATGAATAAAGTATTTGTTGGACGATTCTGCTATATTTTGTTGTTTCAATGAGAACGGTTCATTGTGTGTGTGTTCATGTTTTTGTGTNTGTAAGATCGGAACAATATTTATGCGGTTTCGCTGGGTAGGTGGGGGGACTGTTGTTATCAGACGCAGAAGCCAAAGTTTCGTGTCTTCAAACCTCATCAGTACGCTCCTTTTTCTCTGACCGCCCACATTCTCCGTTAGAAAAAGCAATCGCATTTGATGGTGTATCGAACACGCAAAAAAATAATGTAAAGTCGCAAACTTTTATTAGTATGTATTTTGTCACCAGGGCATGAACTTGTTTGCACTACTGAGTGATTTTAGGATAGACAGCTCTATCATGGCCAGTCCATTGAAAAATCAATACTTTACTATCAATATAACAAGGTTATTGTGACGAAAGTACACTTCCTGGGTACAAGTGTACGAATGAACTGACAAAACATTATCGGATACGCATGCCTGACGAGCGGTAAGAACCGTGAAACCGTGAAATTTTCTATGGTCAATCACATACTACTTTTTATGAAATACATACATATATATGTCTGTGCTTTTGTGAATTTTTCGCCTAAGATTCTTAATAACATGGTACCTCAGTAGGCCTCGGTAGACCAAAATGGATTATCGAACTACCTGCAGATTAGGATGGGTACGTCACATGACATGGATGTGTTCCTTATTTTATCGTTCATCCATGTTTCCACCATTTACGTTTTGTTATCCTATGACTGGAGTGAACAGTTTCAAATAGTTTGAACTTGTTGTTGCTGTTGTGCCTTCAAAAATCAAACAGCCTCCCCTGCCCACCCCAACTTGTCTGTTTAATTCCGTGTCCAACTGGCCAAATAAGGGTTTCCATGTCGTATCTTTTCGAGAATAATATGTTCTCCGGCTATACAGACTGGACGTGAACTGTACAAGATATGATTATACCACCGGTACACGCTGCTCCGTGTGATCTTTAAATGATAATTTTGACCTGTTGCGTTCACAGCTGCGGGATGTGATGAACATTTAACTGTGACCTGTGTAAGATGGATTGATCAACTAGTCATGAAAAATCATCGGAAACTATTGTTTGAAATTACCGAAAAAAAGATCATCACCTAGCTGTGTCCGGGCACCCGCTTCCAATTAATGTATATGTGTGGGGGGGGGGAGCGAGAGAGGGTAGTGTATTTCGTAAACGGACGCAAAAATCGGCAACTGAATGCCCACATTTGCGTCACCAAATCACTCATATTTGGTAGTTGCATGGGTGTGGTGCGGGTTGGTACGGAATCCGGACGTCATTTTCGATGACTCGTGGCCTATGCTCGTTCATTTCGCGCAGTTAACTGAACCACACTGAACTCATAAATCCAGATAACTATTAGCTATATCTGACTAGAAGCAAATAGAATCAAGATATTGTGACATACCAAACCGTAATCTTTATCCGAATTTTCAACCCTAAACAGTTTATTTCAACATATTTATTGGAGGGGGGAGATGACTGGACTACCAGACTAGTTGACAGTTACCTCTCTTGAACCTATCTATAGTAATTACAGTAATAGTAGTAGAAGCACGCAATGAACGCGAAACATTTTACAGGGATGCACTGACACAGGTTCCTTCAACTTCCCTAAGGCGTTCAGGCCGACGATGGAATGAATTTTCTCAGGGACCAGGAATCGAATTGGAATGAAGCAATTTTTTGCTCATTGAGCCAATAACGACACTTCCTCCACCAATGGGAGTTTGTGACCTGTAATGCCAATAATTTTCACAGTTGTTTGCTCAACTTGTGATTCCGGACAGATGGATCGAAGCACTTCAGTAGAAAGGATAGATTTCGTACTTCCGTTATCCTTAATGAATTTGTGCTTCGTGCCTGACTGTAATGCCACTTCTTTGTATACCAATTGGGCATGATGACTGGGTTCTCAGGGAAGGCACAGGGCTGGTTTCTTGTTTGACTGATGGCTGTGCGAGATTCCCACAGGGTTGTTTACATACTCGCCAAATGTGGCCAGTTTTGCCGCACGCATGGCACTTGGCATTGCGAAATCGACCGTTGGAGCGCAAGTGGAAAGCTCCACATGAGAGACAGTGGTTGATGCGTTTATAATTGCCAGAAGGGTCATGTTTCGGCTTCGGTGTGTGCTTGGCCATTGGAGGTCGGATCTGCCGTTGGACTAGAGTGACTGCTTCGCTGGAAGCAGCCTGTGTCAGGTCATCATGTTTAACACAAATCTCTTGTGCCTCTACAAAAGTTAAATCATTCTTCTCTAGCAACTTCCGTTTGAGTGTCAAATTGTTTTTGCCCGCTGCTAATCGGTCACACAATTGTTCCTCCAACCGATTGCCGTAGTTGCAGCGCGATGCTTGTTTGTTCGGCTACAGAATGAAATCAAAGCAGGAAACATGTTCGGCATGAATCAGCGAGTTGAATTTAGCTCTCTTTTGTGGAACTCGGTGTGCAGCAAGTGGTTGAGCAGTAACGATTTCAGGGATTTTTATGGTAATTTAGCCGGAGCCCCGGGAAATGCCAAATTTTTCAACAGGGTGGTCACGGCCGCCCGCAGTGAGCAATAGGGCTGGCTGGTTTTGGGGGCTACCTTTAAGAATGCTGCACCACAGTTAGAATCGTTCTACCCAGTCCTCGATCTCAGATGGGCTAGCCTGCATGTTCAGTTGTTCGATAATTTGAAGCTCCGTCGCGCGACGCCAATTAGCAGTAATAGTAATAGTAGCAGCACTCAAGGAACGCGAAAGACGAATCACGGAGTAAGAATCACGGAATACGAGTCACTGATTAGCAATCACGGACGTCACGTAAGCACTGGACCGCACTGGCACTAGCACAACTGTAACCCACGTAATCGAGACGCGAGGAGAAGGCCACCGGAGTAGTAGTTAGATTTTTGAAAGAAAACAGTGGATTAAATATTATGTGCAAAACAAGCTCATTGGTCATCCAGGCCTCTGTCAATCGCGTTCTGGCGTTGTTCTGTCCGTTCTTTCTTGGCCGCACGGTTTCTTATTAGCTGGTACAATCGACCTATGGTATGTAGTCCAGAAGCTGTGGCACACACGAGCTTTGCTGACGTGACCCGTGAAGCTTTAGGGGAAATCTACTTCAACAAAGCTCCATGCAAATTCCTAATTTTGATGAGCCTGACATGTTCCGGCCAGGGAACCGGCCGAGATCGTTTGTATTGTATCCCGTTCCAGGTCTGTATCAATCAGGGATAATTTCGTGCCTTATAGTGCTGCAAATGCCACTTAGCCGAACCAAATTTCTTGAATCTATTGGATTCTGTTATTTCTTATGTGATCAACTTTACACACACTGTTGTTGTTATATGTACAGTTGAATCAAACGGTGCTGCGTTGTACATTTAGCTGTTGAATGCAGCATTCGAGGATGGTAAAATATTGTAGTAGCACATTTTTCATCAAAGAGTTTCCTAATCGAGGGCATGATGAGGAGGACAAAACATTTCAGAGGTAGATGAAGAAAATCACTTCCGAGGTGCATTGGCGTTGATCGTAATCAATGTGACCGATGGGTCACGTGTTCGAATCCCACCAGCACTACCACTCAGTTGTGCGCATTTACTTATATCACATACCATCCTTACGGATTGTGCACTACCTGTTTCTTCTAAAGAAACAGCAAGCTCCACATTTTGAAACAAATAGCATTTAACAGACTGAAAAATAAAAGAAAATAATTTAATTCCGATAAACGGGTAATCTGTAACACGACGCTGAACTGGTGAACTTGTACTGTCGTGTGATTGACAATGAGAAGAGGAAATGAATTACACGGAACAATTCGCCACCTTGTGCTTATGGGTTGAACTGAAAGCGTTAGGATATCACGTAGATTAAATGCATCACGATCACGTTTGAGATCGATTGCCAGATCAACCCATGATGTCACCACCATCCATGTACTCACATCTAACCCAACACTTGTCTAAGTGAGTTCAGCTGAAATCTTTAAGAATAAAGTAACGCTTGTAAAGAAGTTCTCCTGATGAACTGTTGTGCATGAATTTGAACGCTTATTCCGTTTTATTTCCATAAAAATGATGTTCATTGTTCATCGCTTGAGCTTGAGTATTAGAAGAGATTAGATGAGGAATTGCTCGTGTCAATGCGGCATGAGCTGAAAATCTAGGACGTGCTGGATAGCTG